TATTCTCAAAACCTCTTCGAAGCTGTAACTTCTAACGTCTGCTTAATCAGCGTGCAAACATGAATACCGCGTCAGCTCTGGTATTTCCCTGTTGCTGAACATTGGTGGTTTACGATTTTTGCTGCAAATGACATATCTATTTTTTCATTATTTTGCATTGTTTCTTTAGGTCAGTTTACAGAAAGTTAGATTAATGGACCAAAGTCTAAACAATATTAAGGCTCTTCATACGTATAACGGCCGGGTTGCTTTCTGAAAGGGCTGTGCTGGTTTTCCGTCCAGATGGGCCTGGAGGGGGTCTGCCCTTCCTCCCCCACCAAGGGAACTTCCACGTGCGTGAGGCCAGCATCCAACGCGGCCGCCTGCGTGAGCTCTCTCCCCCGAGGCTGGACACCCCGGCTGTGCCGGGAGGGCCCGGAAGACTGGGGACTCCTCAGGCGATGCCTGTGGAAGGTGTGGGGGGAGGAGGAGCAGCTGGAATGCTGAAAAGAGCACAGCTGTGCAGACTCTTGAAGGGACACCTCAGCAGGGTAACGCCCGTGACCTGTTGGCAGGTTGTCTTAACACGGTGAAAACGTGAGCACAGAGTCCTGGGCAGGCTGAGTTGGGGGCTGGGGACCGACACCTGTCCCGGAGCGTGCAGGGGCTGGCTGGTCGCGTGGCCCTTGCATGTGCGTTCCTCCGCGCTCAGCAAGCCTTGCAGATTGTTCCTGAATTCTAACTCGGCAGCTGTGAGGCTGCCGGGTGTTCTCTCTTTCACTCACCTGACACTTTTCCACATGCCCCAGGCTTCCTTGCCATAAAGTGTGGTCATGTGACTAACCAGGTGAAGGGTGGGGTTCCCTCCTTCACCCTTTCCTCTTCCCGCTGGCTGGAACGTGGATGTGATGTCCAGAGCTTGAGCAGCTGTTCTGGACCGGGTGCTTGGACCCTATGTTTAAGGAGGCAGAGCAACAAGCTAAAGACGTTCTGGGTCTCCGACGACTGTAGATCGGCCACATTAGTCCAGGACTAGCCAA